CTTGACCCCTTGTGTGCGTTCGTGTGCTCATTGTCGTCCCCTGTTCTTATCGGCTGTTGTACAGCAACGCCGGTCAGACGGACAAGTTCAAGGAGGCGCTGACAGCGGCTACCAGCACCGGCGTGCCGTGGGCCATGTCGATGACCAGGAGGCGACAGGACGTGATGGACAAGAAGGAGGTAAGGGACAGCAGAAACAAGACGCAGCGATTGTTACGGAGAGATGAGGGGGGGGGCGTAGAGATACTTTGCACGCAGCTAGGCAGCTGCGAGAATTGTGAACGAGGTGATGTTGGTGTCTTCGCGTTGGCAAACTGTCCTGGTCTCTGCTCTCTCTCTGTCTCTCTCTCTCTCTCCCCGTGCCTCTTTTCAGCGAGCTGGCAAAGCGTACGCGAGCAACAGATACCGCCTCGCTCACGAGCTCTACTCGGAGGCTATCTGCGTGGACCCCCAGGACTACTACACCAACGCCCTCCTCTTCGCCAACCGCGCGGCCGCCCTGATGAACATGACCAGGAACAAAGACGCGCTCAAGGACTGCATCGAGGCGAGTCGTTTGATGTTGTTGCTGTTGCTGCTGCTGCTGCTGCTGCTGCTGCTGCTGCTGCTGTTATTGCCATTCTTGTTGTTGTTGTTGTTGTTGTTGTTGCTGCTGCTGCTGCTGCCGCTGCCGCTGCCGCTGCCGCTGCCACTGATATTCTTGTAGCTGTTGTTGCTGCTGCTTCTGCCGCCATTCTTGCTGGTGTTGGTCCTGCTGTTCTGGGGCTGGTGCTGCTTGTGTTGAGATACGAACGTTGAGCGGTGTCCTGTATGCTCATGTACTCTCTAGCCCCCCACCATCCTCATGAATACTCCCGTCTCCCCTTTCGCGTACATGACTGAGCTGGGAAAAGTAGAAGGAAAGTACAGGGAGATGTTTGGGGCATCGAAAAGTCAGGATAAGACGTTAGCTGTACTGGAGCGTAGGAAGTGGGTTGACAAGGTGGGAAGTGATGTCGGTAGGATAGACAGACTACGGAAGACATTTTTGAGCCACCTTTGGGAAGGTAGGAAGGAACGATTGGCCATCGGTGGTGGGTCCGGTGGGAACAATGCTCCGTGCTCTCGAGGACGCGTGGTCAATGGTGTAACCTCTAAGGCATGCAAAACATGAGAGTACACCCGCTCCCCCCCCCCTCTCGTCCTGTTCAGGCATTGCGTCTGAAGCCCAACTACCCGAAGGTGTTGCTGCGGAAGGCTCGGCTTCATAAGCGCCTGAGCCAGTGGGACCTTGCCATCAAGGTAACGCGACTTGATTTAGATTGAGGGAGGGCAGAAAAGGCGTGTGACTCCACCCTCCACCTTACCCTCTGCATCCATCCAGTCTAGTCCTATGGATACCTAGGAACCAGACCACAGTTGTTGCTCTTGTCTTTACATAAATATCCGTTCCGTTATCTTCGGTATCTTTGTGTCACCTACCGTATTCCGCGGGTGCGGCGCACGTATTGCGAGCGCACCCCCCGGGTCCCCTCCCTCCATCCGCTCTTCTCATACACGCTCTCCTTCCCGTCTCTTGTCTCTCCAGGACTACGAGACTTACCGCAACAGCGTGGGAGTTCTGCACGCCACGTGGGAAGAGGCCGCGAGCGAGCTCGATCAGTGCCGGCTGAGCCAACGCAGGGCCAACGATGAGGAGAGGAGGAGAGAGGCGGAGGCGAGGGCGTACGAGCGGGGGGACTACTTCTACGGCAGCAGCTCGCGCAGCGGCGGCCGCGGCGGCGGGGGGAGCCGGCACGGGCTGTTCGACGACTCTGACGATGACAAGGACGACCACGACCCTTTCAAGTTCTTCTCGGGTGAGGGGGGTGAAGGGGAGGGAGGGGGGGAAGAGGGAGGGAGGGGGGTCNGGAGGGAGAGAGAGACACACACACAGAGAGAGAGAGAGAGAGAGAGAGAGAGAGCGCTGGGTGTTGGCTTCTCTTTTGGAGAGACTAGCGGAACAACAACAATACTAAAAGTCTAGCAAAAACGTACCTGTAGTCACGAAACCTTGTGTGGGTGCACTCGTTGAGCAACAATTTCCATTCTCGTTCCTCTCAACCTGGTATGCGAGTACACCTGTTCTACTGCTTCCTTTTCTTCGTACCCCGCTCCCGCGCTGGCCCGATGCCCCCCGCCCGTGTCGCCTTCTCGTCGCCCCTTAATTTATACCATATCGTCGTTTACATCAATCGCCCCTTCCCTTTGGCGTCTTGTTGGTTGTGTTCCTGCACAGGTGGGAGTTCTTGGAGCCGGAGAGGGAGAGGTACCGGTGGCAGGTCGAAGTACGACTCCCCCCCTCCCCCCGGACCTGTGCCTACATCCGGGCACTACACGACGCTGGGGATAAAGTCCACCGCCACGACGGCAGAGGTAGGAAGAAGTTTACAAGCGAGGGTGGGGCGAAAGGGAGCTGTTATTGAGGCGGAGGAGCGGAAAGTGGCGACGAAGCACGTGTGCTACGGCTATGCCGTGATGTTTGGTGGTTATAGCCGGGGTACCCAACCGATCCGTGTAGTTTGGCACAACAACCCATAGATGAGGACTGCCTTCGGGCGCATCCTTGTGAAACTTAGCCTGGCCCGGTCAGCGGAAACCCGGCATACATATCGTTCCTTCACGGCATTGCGAGGTCAATGGTCTGAATACTACGGCACGCGTTTACATGGGTACACACCCTTCTCCTCCATCTCCCCGTCTGTTTGTTTCTCCCGTCCTTCCGCGCCCCTCAAACGTCTCCCCCGTCTTGGGCGTGGCAGGTTAAGAAGGCGTACCGCAAGCTGGCGTTACAGCACCACCCGGACAAGAACCAGGGCAACGAGGCTTCCGCCAACATCTTCAAGGACGTGACGGCAGCCTATGAGGTGAGTGACTACTTCTGTAGGAGCCAGAACAAGAGAAGAGAAGAGGACAAATACACCAGGGAACGTGTTCGCTCATGAGTCGAGATTGGTGGCGATTGATGAATGCTGCTGCTGCTGCTGCTGCTGCTGCTGCTGCTGCTGCTGCTGCTGCTGCTGCTGCTGTATGGAAGTAATGTCGGCGGTCGGTTTCAACATTTTCCGTCGACAACCGCGGTGTTTGTTTGCTGTCCGCTCATGTGTGTGCTCTTGTTTGCGCGCGTGTCTTGTGTTTTTTGTTGGTCTTCTGCTCTGCTGGCGCTGCTGCTTGTCGCTGATTTCCGCCAACGCTTTGGCGCCTTGGGTGCCCCTGCTGCTGCTGATGCTGATGCTGGTGATTATGCTGCTGCTGCTGCTGCTGCTGCAGGTGCTTAGCGACGAGAAAGAACGCCGCACGTATGACGTTAGCCTCCGGCTGGCGGGGCAGTCCCCCGGTTGGCGGTGATGGTGATGGTGATGGATGCAAAACAAGCGTCTTCGGGGTGATGGTCCCTTGTTGAGGGGAGGGGGATCTTGATGCTTCGTGGGAGCTCGCTTAGTTGGTGGGGGGAGGGGAGGATGTGGATGCTTTGTGGATGCTCGCTCTCCCTGCTTGTCGAGAGAGGAGGACGTGGATACTGTGTGGATGCTCTCTCGGCGTTGTCGGGGGAGAGGATGTGGATGCTTTGGTGGAAATTGTGTGCGTCGGCGAGCGCGCGGTACTCGTGTTGGTCGGTGTACGCCGACGGCTGTGGAAGTGCTGCACGCCGTGGCTTTCGTTTCGAGCTATGCGTATGTAGCTCTTTGTTGAAACCGTCGTTGGTGGAAGATGGTGTGGTCTCATGACATGTTAGAACAAGGCCGTCACGGCGCCTGAGTAGCTGTAGGCATCCTCAGCACCTATCTCACCCACCCGCATGATGATAATGTGGCGGCAGTTTTTTTTTGCTTGTTTTTCACTCATTGTCTCCTTGGTCGGGCCGAGCGGGGAAGAGCCGCGCTTTGATAGCGTCGGTGCGATCGCCAGAGACAACACAATTCCTGGTATCATGTGTACGTGGGTTTTTGAGATATGCTCGTGTGATCGTCTATGGTGTTTTTGGTGCATTTGGGGTAACTAAACCAAATGAGCTGCCCGGCTTTCGATATTTTATTTTGTTTTTTCTCCGCTGGTTGCAAGCGTAGTCTTGAGCATTCGCAAAAAGTGAATCGTGCTGTCCCAGAAAGTGCTATGTGCCACATGCAGCTCCGGGCTGTTCAGAAACAGAGAGAACTATTATTCTAGCCCCCACGTAGCACCGGCGAGATCTAGGGCATGATGTTGTGGCAAGCAAACAGGAAAAGGAGGGTGGTGTCTAAGGTCTGAGAGTGGAGTGCAAGGTGTTTTTTTATAGGTGTAGGCATTTTTGTTGGGGATGGGAGGGTGGGTGAAATGGAAAAAAAAAAAGTTGCTTTGCGTACAAGGTGCGCATATTTGTTTCCCACCGTTCCTTCCCCCCAAGTGAAACGAACCACGAAGTGAGGTAAGAGGCGAGTGTCTTTGTGTATGGGCATGTGGGCGAAAGGTCCCTTCAGCACACAGCAGCAGCAGCAGTGTTAGGCCGTTGCCAGGTACCATGGGGGAGGGGAGGACGAGGGGGGGGGGGGNTCGTTAGACCATTGACCTCGCATCCCTACAAAGCCGGGACGGAGCACGCCGGGTTCTCACCGGACCAGCCTCTCAGATCACCAAGCGCGAAGCGCCGTGAGGTATTCGGCGAGTCGCATGTAGGGTGCGCTGCATCCTAAGGGTGTTTGGCATCTTGTGCTTACTTGCTTACGGATGACAGCTGCGTATGAAGTGGTGCTTTCACTTCCAGAGACACAAGCACTGTGTAGCTGCCTCGAGGGTGCTTGACCAATTTAACACAGCGTGGTGCGATCATCCCCCTTGCGCGGAGTGAGGGTTCTCCACCCCGCACAACATGATCCACTCGACCACCATTGTGGTTACCGCCAAAAAAAACGGAGGTAAAAAAACAACGGTAACCTGGCTGCCGAGCTCACGAAGTGAATTGGCTTGTTGTACAACGTCGTTGCCAAGCGATGAAAACGCAATCCCGATGGCAAACACCGATGGAGGACGGGGGGTACAATAATGACATGTGTTTTGTGGTTTCGGTTGTGTGAGGGCGTGTGATGAGGTTGGAGGAACGGAAAAATATCATGGATCAGAGAGGGTGTGATGAATTTGATTTGAACAGTGTCAGATCATGCAATCATCGTTGTGTGGTCGTGAACGAACGTTTTCGGTAGAGTATGTGACGGGCGTGATCCGAGGCCTTCCGGGGAGGACGAGGAAAGAATGCGCGCGTGTTTTCGCCTCTTATCGTGCATGCCCGAGGTTATTGTGGACGGTACATCCACTGGAGTTCACCAGAGTATTGCATGTTGTGACGACCCTTCCCCAGAGCATTCCGACAACCTTTGCCGGAAGTCGGCTACCGCTCGCGGGCGCGTGTTGTCCATACAACAACTCCTTTATGCCTTAGAAGGCAAGTTGTTGGCATGGTCGCGCAGACCCGCGTTGAAGGCTCCGCCAGACACACACTCTCCTCTCTGTGGTAACCCTTGTCTTCGCCTAAATCTCACACGAGACAAAGCTGCCGTCCGTCACCAGCAAGCTAAACACAGCTTCTTACCGCACCACCTTGGGGACCGACCGTTCTTCAATCTCTTCATGTTACGAGATGTTTTCTCTGAAGTCCTCCTTACTCCTTCCTCGCTGCAGGGTGGATCGTAGAAAAAGGCGACTCTCTTTCTCTCGATTCATGATTAATTATTCCATTCTGAACGACGTCAGCCACATGTCGATCAAGTGATTTTCACCAACGCCAGAAAATGCTAGGAATCTTTCCCGAAAGTCACGAAAACGCATAAACCACCAGGCACTACGGTACCCAGAAAAAACCATATTGTTAATATCGTTGAACTACTCCTGCGGCCCACACCAAATAATCGTGGCCCAATTTTTCAGTGAAGTCAGACCCACAGATTTCGACACACGACTGTAAACGTTGATTTTTCCAAGCACTTCCCACCGCAAGATCGCTGGAGAAGAAATGGTACGGCCGTCAGGTGCAGAGATGGAGCTCTTGAGGACCGCGCACACAACCCGGCAACGCGTATCACACGGGATCAGGCGCGACTAACTGCTGCTGAGGAGGAGGTGACCGCCCTAATGAATAAAGGTTCAGGCCTGGAGATCGATTCCAGCCTTTTTTCACAACGGCTCCGATCGATTCCAGCCTTTTCGCGCAACGACTCCTTGTTGAGTGGTATTTCCCGGCAAGATCGCTGAAAAAGATGGGCCTCACCCGCAAAAAGCGCCAACCCTTGAGACTGATTTGCTCAACTTTGGATCCCTCTCCCCACCGCTTCCTAATCTGATCCTCACCCAAACGCCGACCGAGCGTACCAGCATTGACCAAAACGGGCCACAAGCAAGATTCCCTAGCTCAACCGCGATGGCATATTTATAGGCCTCCAACTGCACCACGAGACCCATGGACCAACAAGGGTACAATCCTTATCCTTCGTTCGCATCATCACCACCACCGTCCCTGAACTAAATCTTCAGGGCTCAGTCTTCGAAGTATGATACTAATCTACAGAGTCCGCGACAAAGCCGTAACATTTATCCGTGTACAGAGCGAGCGATACATGTTGCCGGGTTGTTGTTGCCTGGACACCCAGCCAAAGGCCGCTTCTTCTCACCGCCGGGCAGACTAACGATCGAGCACGCTTGTGGCGCAATCGAAAATTTCGACCATCGTGCCTAGGAGCCTCTGTCTTGTGGTCGGCTTTGGTCAACCGGGTATATCCATCTCTGGTAGAGGTAGACGACGAAAACCACATCGTCACGGAAACACGACTACAAGCAACCGCGCCACGGAAACAAGCACCAGCACCAGCACCAGCATCGGCAGCGGCGGCCAAGGCAGTGAAGACGGACACGAGACACGGCGGAAAGGCAGTCGAGACAAGGTAGCCAGGAGACGGTTAGTTTCGGCAACAAGGCGAACGATTTCTCCACGGTCACCTTTCGCGTCGCACCAATAGAGTACTACAACTCATTTCGACAAGGTTTTCGTTTCCCCGTCTTTTTTTTTCCGCTCACCGACGGAGCGGTGCATCGTGCCCATCACCGGCGGAACGTTGTGTGTCGTTTCATTTCCGTAGGCATGACGTAACATGACACACACCCTGATACGATCTACGAAGCTCGGCTATTCCATGACGGAAGAGGATATATACATGAATATACATGAAACGATACAGCAGTTGTGGGAAAGCTCTCGACGAGATGGTACCAACGCTCTCTGCGATTGTCGGCTCCGCCACGCTTTCTGCCGTGGGGAAATCAAACCATGAAAATCGGGCCGGGGGGTGTGATATCTTCCGTCATGTCGCCTACGTCGACAAGCGATTGAGATTGAGTGCCGAAAACTGTTGCAAGCACAGGGGAAAAATAATTCGCAGATACAGCCTACAACAACGCCTCAAGCCCAGCAACTCCCGGCCATTTGTTGCCAAGTGGACCAAATGACGATTCTTCCAACGACCACGGTCGCGGCAGTGCGCCCCTATCGTCCTTCTTCTCTCGCCCTTTCTTGTCCCTTACCAGGCGGTGCATCGTCGGCATTCGTATCACGAACGCGAAGAGGTCGTCGATCACCGTGTTGAGGCTGCGGTAGCACAGGAACCGCCACGGCAGGTGTGCCACGCTCTTGAGCTTGTAGTTGATGTACAGCTGCGGCGTCATGAGGACGAAGCCAAAGGTGTACACGAACGCCTGTTTCGTGTTCGTACACGGGGGGGGGGGGGGG